GGGTTAATAGTGGAGTTTTTTCCAATGAGATTAACTAAATTTACATCTGAGTTCTACAAAGACTGCCAGACTGAGTTTGTGGAATGATGAATTGGACATCAGATGTTCTTTTAGGTTCAAGCCTTTGGATGCAGGTTATTGGAGGGATTTGTGTACAGCTGTATTATAGAAATCTATCACGATGTTTAATTTATTCTCTTTACTAAATTCACAGCAACTTTTGAAAAAGCAAACTTGATGAAAAGCTGTTACCTTTTTATAATCACACTCTCAGTGGCTTGGCAGGATAAGATAATCAGCAGCTAAAACCATCTTGGGGAAAGTTTTTCCACAGAACCATCTCTAAAACATACCTTTTTATAACCCATTTAATCCATTTTGTATAATTTTTCCCAAACATTTATGTCTCTCTGCCCCACAATCTATTCACCTATTTACATATGCACTTCTACATCAGTGTCATTGCTATTTCTATTACAGTTTATCTTTCAGGTGTCTTATCAACATGCCCAGCACCAAAACAGTCCTGGAAGCTACTCTGTACATGTTCAAATCTAACATGTGGTCACATTTTATTGTCCAGTTGTCAGTGAGCAAGAAGGTGCATTACTTATCCTGGTAAAAAGCAAACTGTCTAGAAAGGTTTTGTGCTAGGAAAGCTAGGCTAATTTTAAGCTGGGGATTTACAGAGGAAGCTGGTTTATGGCTAGATTTCCCACCAGCATTGGCTGTCTATGGGTGAGGTTAAAAGGGGCCAGGAAGCTTGGTTTTGTGGTGTACGTAGCAGGGACAATGCGGTTATTTCTAAACCTAAATCTGGCAGGAGTCACCCTTACTATGTCATTGATTCCATCATGCACGCTGTGCCTTTTAATCCATCAAGTATGATTACTTCCCTCATCCCAAACTTCAAACAGCTACAAGAGGCTGCAGTGGTTTTAAAAGACAGATTCTTAACTGAAGTTGCCACAGAAACATTTTATTTTCCCTGAAATTATGTAACTTACATGCTAAGATTGGAAGTAATCAGACCTGAACCAGTAGGTGCTTAAAATGAAATTTCAATGGCCCATCAGGGCTAAAAATGGACATTTCAGTAGAAAGAGAACATTTTATCCATCCCGATGGATCATGCAATATCTGTGTGTAGATCTGAAAGATCATGAAATGCCAATATTAGAGCTGGGCTACTCTGCCTGCCCGCTGCTGAGTTTGCTTTTTCTACCCCAAGAAGCAAGCAATGCCTCTGAGTTTCCCTCCATTATAAGGTTCAAACCCTTTTATTTCGAATAGCCTTCAGCACCACACGCGGCACCTACTTTGTTCGTCTTGTGCTCTGCAGTTGTGGTTGCTCTCTTCCTTCCTCCTGCCAACGGACTCCACTCCCCCTTCCCTGCTGCCATCCTTCCCTTCACAGTCCCACCAGCTCCTCTTCCCACTCTTGACCTCAGGCTTCCTCCTTACTTCTGACATCTGGCCAAGCACAGGCCCCCTTTGCCAACACCATTTCTGCTTCCTGGACCCTCACAGTTGTCCCATGTCAACTCACAGGCTTATTCCCTTTCTTCTCTCTTCCTGCTCCTCTTTCTGGAGCTTCCACTATATCTCTGGCAAGTCACAGTCACTCCTGTCAGCTCTTGGTTTTCATGGACACTTGAATGCCTCTGTTATCAGGCTCTACCTCTCTTTCTGAGGGATCTCCTTCTCCATGGCTTCCCAAATTGGTGTCAGGCTCTGAGGGCACCACCAGACCTTGCTGTCCCAGCCCAGTGCCCTGGGAATCCCCTCACACTGCTCATGGCCCAATATCCCATGCCAGCCCCTGGGGTTGTCAGCTGCTGCCCCAGTGACACTGCAGCAGCGCCTGTCTCCAGCTCCCCACAGCCCTGCCCAGCCACAGGCTCACCTGTGGGACCACCTTCCACAATTTTGGCCCATCCCTGTCCTCGGGGAAGTGACAGGCCCTGCCCTGACAGACTCACAGAGAGCCCCCAGGGAGCAGGTGGCCCCTGCAGTGCCCTGGCACACAGGCCATTAAGGCACCGTAGCTCTTCCTGCTCTCTATGTTGTCATCCACTTCTGGCTACAATGCCTCCTCCACAACAATGCTTCTTTTTGGCTTTTCTTCCAGATCTTTCACATTCCTCATGCTCCACCATATTCATCTTTGTCATGCTGACTTAGGCCTAGACATGCCCACAGTGTTTCCTCTCATACTGGGAACATCAGAGGCGTGCAGGTGTTTCCAGAAATGTGAAGGCAATGGAAGGTCCTTTCACTACAGTAGCCACTAGAGGCTAAAGTAAAACCTGCATTTTTCTTACAGAAAGTATTTTCCTGAGACCACGTACTCTGCAGCAGTTCTGGAGAGGAACAGTTTGGTGGCAGCATGCCTAGTAGACCCTGAAATCAGTGGCAGGAGTTGTGACAATAAGATCTGTTTCTAAAATAAATTAAAGGATTCGGACAGGAGTCAAACTGCAGGAGCCAAAGACAACCCTGGAATTGCATTATTCCCACCTTGAAACAGATGATGGTCAAAGATAAAACAATCCTTCTCACTGCCTCAACAAACAGCACAATATGTAGCAAGTTAACTCTGACACACAGGGTTGTGCACCTAGCAGAGGAGGGCCAAACAGAACAAAAAAGGCTGAAAGCATAGATGGATAAATGTTTCAATTAATCTCAGTGAGAGATGGAAACAGTCCCATACGCACTTCTTTCCATATATGCCCCATAAAAGTTTTGTATGCATTGTACGGGAGTGTTGCTTGCAGGATAGCTTTGTAGTGGGGCTATTTGGATGAAACCAACATCTATCTCAGCAGCACCTGGGCTTGCCTTGTTTCAGCTACCTCTCAGTTTGCTCACCTGGTTACAGTGAGGGAAAGCATTCCTTCAGTGGCACATCACCACCGTGTGGACAAGTTTAATTAGTGCAGCTCTCAGTTTCTTAGGGGAAAAGGTGGCTGACCTAAGTAAATTAACTTCAGCTTAAGTTGGAGTCTAAATGTATTTTGGGTAGTCTATGATCTTGTCTATACTGGGGAACTGATTTGCATAGCTGAAAGATTCAGCTATTCTGGAACAGCTCTTCGAGAGTACAGGAAAGTTTTCAGAAATAGCAAAAATGTTCGCATTACACTGGAACAGCAAAAGTAGTCAACTTTCCTAAATTAGCAGGTCTAATTGGGTGCAACTTATGTATTCAGGTAGATGGACAAAGTGCTCTAATTGTAATCAGGAGAAGCTAAGGGAATATGCAAATATTTTAAATAAACCACTTCTTCCTATGCCATTCTGATATTTCCTGGCACACCTTTATCTCTGCCCTAGAGCATGGAAATGATACAAACTCTAACTTCCACAGGGCCAACATTGTTGAATTCATTTGTAAGGTGCCATGATGAATTGAAGTACTCTAGGAAAAATTCTAGGCATAAATAGCTTAATGGATATAGGGCTCACTGTTGAGATACATTCAAGTTCTAGCTCTATTTAATTTGGGTAAGACACTGAGCCTTGGTGTCTTACTTTACTAGGCTATTGCATACTTTAAGTATCTCTCAAGGTCTCTGTTGAAGTTTCATTTTTACATAGATGTGAATGGGAAATGGAAGACTGTTCTAAGTCTACTGCAAACAAAAGGAGATTGTTCTTCATAGAGGGTAGTTAAGCTGCAAATCTCCCTGTATATGTATGGCTTCAAAAAAGGAGGGTTGCACAAATTCAGGGAATAAAAAGTTGATGATAGCTGCTAAATACAAAATACCACATCCGAATCACAAATCACAAGAGGCTGGGAAAGTAGATGGATTTTGGATCTCATACAGTACATATGTTCCAGGGCACCAGAGGTAGATACCCTGACTGACTACTAGGGTACAGGCTGTTTAATTATGTCTCAACTAGTGCTAATTCTTTTTATAAATCAGAACAGTTTCACTAAGAAATGTTAAAGAGAAGAATCCCTATGCATGTCATACTCTTGTGCAATGTCTCCAAAGTATGTCAAATGAACTGTCTCATGGTAACACATGGCAAAGGTTCCCAGTAGGCCTCCAGCTCCCTCCCAGTCTCTATGTTCAAAGACCGAGAAGCCCGAAAAGCCAGCCTCAGAGAGAGGCAGGCAGGCCATGCTGAGAGCTGGCCGGCCACAAGCCCCCATCAGCACCTGCCCACCATCCTGCATCTGCCACGTTGAATTGTGTGTGGGCTCAGGGCTCGAGTTTCCTCTTAGGATCAAACATGCCAGACATCTGAATATCAGTTTTCTGCTTCCTAGGAGTGCACCCTGGGCATCAAGCTGTGAGAGATTCAGGGTGTGTCTCTCCTGTTCTTTGCACTTTCTCTCTTTTTTTTTTTTTTTTTTTTTTTTTTTTTAATTGGAAAGACTGATTTATTTCCCATGGAGAGCAGGGAAACTTGAATCTCAAACAAAGAGAAATGCCAGGAGAGAAAAACTATTTCCTGTCCAGGTCTATATCTACAATGGCTACAAAATTATAGAGCAGCCTAGAATAATTATCATTTAACAGCTTCCAGCCTTGGCAATCCATTTTTTATTTCTCTAAGCTAAAACATAAATTATCAACAGCATTTTCTGCATAGGCTGTATAAAACCTCTGTTATTCAGTCCAAACCCACATGATTTCCTGACTGGTGCACTGAAAATAAGCTGAAAGGCAGCAAGACTATAGAAAGCCTTTCAAAAGTGTTCACATTGAATAGAGACAACCCCAAAAGCCCATTGGGAAGGCCTTTTCTTTATCAACTGATGGCAGAGCCCTGTGTGTTCCTGACAGAACTCAGCTACCCTATCAATCAAAGTGACTGAAATCCACCACAAAGCCAATTCGGCACCTCCAACGGCTGGAGTAATTCAGCATGAACATAATTGCTTTTACTTAGGTTTATAATTAGGACCCATTTGACAAATGTCGCTCTAGCTGGGCCAGGGATAATGATCAGGATGTAATGAGTTGTGGGATCCCTACCTTCTGGGCCATGGCTCCCTGCGTGCTGAGGAGAGAGCTGCAGTCCCCTTCATGGTATTCTTCTTTACATTCACGGCAGAACACAAACTGGAAAACAAACCAAAGCGCACAAGTCATAAAAACACATTAGGGATATAGACAGCAGGTTACAATCATGAAGAGTCATCCAGCAGATGATCTCTTGCCCTTCTCATCCCATTAAATTCCCATAATCCTCCTAATTGTGCATCTTATTATAGACCCTGATCATTAACACAACAATTTTGCTGTTATTATTATACATTTCATTGGTGAAGTAACATAAATGCCATTATTAAAAATGAGATTTTGCTACATGGTCCATTTAGGGACATAAAGTCATACGAGGTACTTTTGGGTGTGTTTCTCCTACAGTGAAATCTGTTTATACAAGAAGGGTACTGGCTGAAACAAGCAGTTCTGCTTTACAGTGTTTGCTAATGGAAATAGTCTATTCATAGTTCTGAAGCAAATGCATTCTCTATGGAAAACTATTGCTGACTTTACTAGGGGATGATCACTTTATATAGGCCATATGAAATACCATTTTCTAGAAAATTATATCCTCGCCATAGACTTTTATAGAGTGGCTTAAAAAAAATCCATAGAAAGAACACAATGATAGGTTACTTAACAAGGGGTTTAGGGGACTACCTCTAGACCTTTATTGCATTTCTAGCAATTGTTCTGGTTTCATCTTCCTTCAATTACATTGTTCTTTACATAAGGCTTCGTTGAAAAGTAATGTCTTTTGCAGATGAGTAAAACAATTGTCCCTACCTCAGCCTGAGCCTCCTCTGCCACCTAAACTAGTTCATATGTATCAAGTTTGATGCATCATTTTTAAACTCTAAAAATGAAGATTTCTGTCTTGACATGTGTCAAAATCTTTGACCCATCAATGCTGCATTAAATTCTGTGTCCTTGCAGGTAAGGGGAAAAGTCAATAATGTAAAATGGATCTCTTTTATGCTGTTTTAAATCTATGCTGTCTTGATGCAACTCCAGACTCTGAAAGATCTCTCAGCAGTAAGCCATTCTGACTGGCATTATAAACAAGACTGATAAAACAGCCTTGATTTTTAGATACAGAGCTGCATTCACATGTAATGAATAAAGGGTATCAGGAGGACACGACACTAGAACATTTGTCTGCCACAAATTCCAGCTTTTGCAATTTCATTTTAAACTCTTTCAAGCTGTATTGTCACTTTTCTAAGAAGCACTGAAAATCGTATTTCATTGTTATGCTAAAGAAACTGCACTTTTATGGAAAGAAGCATTGTGCAAGTCCATAAGGATTGATCCTGTTATTCAGAAAGTCATAGAAATTTGTAGTGGAGGAGTGGAGTGACTGTTCTAACCTCCAGAGATATCAAACCTAATCACGCACTTACTTTCTTGTCACTTCTCTCCACTATTTTGTCAATGATTTAAAATGTTTTATTTTACTTCAACTAAAACAGATTTGTTAATTCCCTTGTGCTTGTTAGCAAACAGCTTAACAATGGAGGCATTTTTGCAAGGTAAGTTGTATGAGAGGCTGCATTACTGTAATAGAGCATCATTTAAAAGCAACAATTTGCACTGCATTAGTGGTCAAGTTTCAGCCATGTTGAACACTGCTCAAACACATATGGAGAGGCACTCTCTGTCTGGGTACCTAATACTTCAAAGACTTATTATCCCTTAACGATTAAGGTTATGGCCAGGATTAACCACATTTCCAACTGTGTATCCTATTCCCTTTTATTTCCTTATGAACACATCTGGCTGAAAACATTTGTCTGGAAGGGTTTTGTACACACTTGCTTTATCACTGTCTTATCACACAAGGCCTCAGCTTGCTTTCCTCACTCTAGCCTCTCTCACTTTTCCCATGTAAGTACAATTTTAAACCTTTCATAAACATTGAAAGGGGGGAAATACTGAAGAAAGAAAGAAAAAACACCAACAGGGCATATATTTTGCAAATACATTCTGGCTGCCTCACAGTGTAGTTTATGTGGCATTGCTATTTATTATAATAATAAAATTCATAAATTCACACCATATTATTTAAAGATGTAAAATGCATTTCCTCATTATACAGGACACTTTTTATATTTGCCTTTAAAATAAAAAATCCTCAGGACCAATGTTTTCCCCATAAGCTTGCTGTACTGGAAACATGCATGAGTGTATAACTGGGCCTTTCACTAACAATTGCATATCCTGCAAGCAAGTCCACGAGTGAGCCTGCCACATCCTTGTAATGAAACAAAGCCTGATTTTTTTTGGTGAGACAGGATACTCTTTTCACATCTTATTAGATAATGGATGAGATGTAAAATCAGTTCTGTGGCAAAAGAACACCCCGGAGGCTGATCAGTTTGTCAGAATAAATAGGAATCTCCCAACAGAAATGCATTAAAGACTCCCTTTTTATGACAAAGCATGCATCATAAAGAAAATTCATGTCACTTACAACGAAAAGCAGTTTCTAATAGTTTTATTCATTTTTTACATTCAGACATGAAAAATATAATAAAGTTTCAGTAATAAAATACAGCAACTGTAAAAATGCTGTCAGTTAACTTGTATTTTGTGGCTTCATTAATATTAATACAGTTATTTTGCCCTTGGAAAGAAAAGGATTTAAGTTGTTCAGTCAGGATTTAAGAGTTTTGCATAAATTTAATATTAGTAAGTGTTTAAAATTACTGTAAGTAGTGTAATTACTGATAATAGTCGCTCTCTTTCCCTTCACTTGCCAAAAGAAGACTGGCAGATTACTGTGATAATATAAACAGCATATGAACTTTCTATGTCTCTGTGTATTTAGCACATACTGTTGTTACCCTTGAAAGATTCTTGGGTTGGAAAACAACCAACACAAAGAATAAATCCCAAAGGTCCCAAGCCTACCCTCTAGGTTTATGCATTAAAAAGAGGATTAGAAGGGAAATCCCCAAAGTACTTAAGGGATTTAGGCACTGGAAATTAATATAACCTGTGTGTGTGCTATTACAGGCTTTCGAGTACCTGTAAAAATGTATGAGATAGGCCTAAGCAGAAATCCTGAATCCAAGCGACTTCAGAAGAGGAGGTCTTAAAAACCTCAACAGGGATCCAGATCCTGTTTTAAAAATCCTTCTATCTTTATGATCATTCAAAAAAAAGAGAAAATCAGACCAAACTCCGGTCAGCTCTATGGAATTCAAACTCCACAGATGACATCTGCAGTGCCAAGAGTGACGCTGAATAGAAACTAGGATGGTGAAACCAAGATATAGTTTTAGTTATTCCTGACTGGCCCAATTATAGTGTTTCAAGTGTTTTAAGTTTGAAAGTGGGAGTAGAATGTAGCTCTTTCTTTGGATGCAAGGAAAATGAGTTTTTCATTTACATAGTATGCTGGTTGTTTTTTTTTTCAAACAAGATTTTGCCATTTCCTTTTTCACAACATTTCAAAGATCTGTTTTCCCTTGGATTAAACAGCAGAGCTCTAATTCTCTCTCTTGCCTACTGCAAATGCCTTTTCTTTGGTCTGTGATAGTATCTCCCTATAGTGCTTATAAAATATTATTGTTAACATATCTTTCTTCCAAATTCAATGTAATACTCCCATTCTTGAATCCCTACACAAAGCTTCAAGTCTGAGCTCTCTACTATAATTATAAAGTTTCTCCTAAACTCAGATATTCCTTTTCTTTTTTGCCTTTACTTCCTCCGATGTGTCTACACAGCAGAATGAAGTCAAGGTTGCAGTGAGGTAGTCATAGCCAAGATTTAATCTTTAATCTGCAGCACTGTAGGTGCACTGCTAGGGATTTATGTGTGAGCTAACAACTCAGGCACACACCTAGATTTCTTACCAGGCTTCTGCAATCGATGTAGAAATCTGGACAGCCACATTGTCACTCCTACAGTTATCGCTATTAGCTAGAGTGAAGACAGACTATATATGACACATGGTTTGGCCAAAGCCTTTCTTTCAAAATGGACATTCTCATCCAGATTAAAGACATGAAGTGAGGAAAGAAGCACTCATACCTCTGGTATAGTGTTTTAATGGCGCTTCAAAATCACTGTTAAATATTGTAGCTAAGGTCTACTTTGTTCCTTTCTGGTTTCAGCTTCCAACCACTGCTCTCTGCTTTGCATCTCTCTGCTAAAATAGAGTATTTCAGTATCCCATATTTTCTTCCTGTGAAGGTACTTATGCGCTGTAATCAGGATACCTCTGACTCCTCTTTAACCTAAACAGGGAAACTCTTAAGTTTCTCACTGGTTAAGCCGTTCCTCCTCCCCCTCTCCTCCAGCCCCAGATCATATTCATGGCACTTATATGGGGACTGTCCTGCTTTTATCATTAACTACATTTAACTAATCTTTATATCATTGCTGTGCTGTACCAGCAGAGTCTCTATTTACTTCTGGATCACTGCTGAGTATTGAATTGTGACAGGTTTGTTGTCAGTCTCCACTGAATGCTGCTAGCTATACCCTGCTACACATAGATTCTTCACAGAAAACGCTACTTTCTGTGATCTGCCAGTTCTTAATCCACACAACCACAGCTCAGCGAGGCATCCATATTGCATCGTCTGACAGTGATGAGACTATGCTGCTGCACAGACCCTAACTGTATCAGTTGGAACCCAGCCCCCTAAAGCCTTTTATTGACACATTACGGTGATGATTTCCTTATCAGAATATTCTGGCGTTTGATGTCTTACAAAAATTGAAATTGATTTTGTGCAATTACTTTTTCTTATCGAACTTGTAATCTCATCACAGAACAAAATCAGTTTCTTCTGATATGACCTGCTGTCATTGAGAATATATTGACTAGAAATCTTATCAAAACTGTTTTGTCTTCTCTGTTTTTCCACCTTTTCTTTCTTTGATCTCCCTTCATTCAGTATTGGCTGTCTGGACGCTTCATTACAGATGGGAATCATAAAAATTAAAGCTACTGAATGAAGGCAGGATCAACATCTCCATCAGTACTGGAGCTTTCTGCCAGTAGTGCAAAACTAGTATGTAAGAGATGCAAAGGTTCCTCAGACTATATGAATAAAGAA